CTGTGACTCAGTCTGACTACTGACCCAGGCAGACAGGGGAATGCAGGCAGGAAATGTCAGGAGCCCATCAGGGGAATGGGGTTTATCAATGTGGCATCAGCACCTGCCTCTGGGGAGCTTCAAGAAGTGCTCTGCATCGAGCTGACAGGTCCATTAGTTGTCAGCTCTGGCCATATCTTACTGGACTGGCAAAGCAGCCACAGCCAGCCGGAAGACACGCCCAGATAACACGATCCTGCAGGGTGTAACAGGACATCATGCCTTTGCTGGTAGTCATAATAAATACCAATTGCTGAGTAACAACAACATAGGGCGTTTTTTGCTGGTATCCTATTTAACCCCCTCACAACACTCCTGAAAGATATATAGCTATTATTGACCCCACTTGCAAATGGGGAAACCGAGGCTCAGAGGAGTGAAGTTACCAGTCCAAGATCACAGGAAGAGGGAGAAAGCCCACATTTTCATCACATTCCCTGTGGTCAGAGGTGCAGTGCATGGTCTCATACTCTTCATGTTACCCCACAGGAAAGATAATTTTCTCCCCACTTCACAGATGAGGAAATCGAGACTGAGAGAAGTCAAAATCTGCATCCTCCCAACCAGAAAACCCTATTCTTCCCTTCTGGGGCCCAGCGTGGAGGCGGTGCTGGGAAATTCTGAGAAGGGCAGGTTGCATAACATCCTCGTTCTCCGCCAAAAGCTGCAAACACCCACTTACCCCATTCACGAATCTGGGCAATGAGTGGTGGGAGTCAGGGAAAGATATTTTAAAAAATCATCTTCAGTCAGGGAATTTCACAGTATAATTATATAGTGAGGACACCAAATTAGCAGAAAGAGGGGACTGCCAGATGCAGCAGCCACACACCACTGCCTACATCCCCATGTTCGCAGCCGGCTCACAGCCTCTGGGGTGGGCTGGGGAACTCTCCCTCTAGATCCTAAATACACCCGACTCTTCAACTAATAGAAAGACATCACTGGAAGACTCCACAAAGACCATACACCCCAATCCCCTCACCTTACACTTAAGGAAACTGAGGTCCCAGACAAGAATTTGTGTGTTTGAAGTCACACCCTGATAGGCTCAGGACTAAGGGCTGGTCCTCTAGCTCCAGCCCCTGCCTCCAGACCCACCCAGCTCCTCTGGAGCCAAGAGACAGAAATAAACCATGCTTGGGCTTTTAGAGTCCAAAATAAATGCATGTACAGCTCTTTCCATTGTTACCATGGTTATAGATAACAAGGGCTGTGGCAAAGCACAGCAAATTAGTTAATGATGAAAGAGAAACTTCCAACAGTGACATGTTCTGCATGAACAAACTGCTTTCCTGATTCAGTGGCAGGCTGGACCCCGGTGGCAGGGCAAGTGTCTGTGGTGAGCGGGAGAGTAATTACAGTGGAGGTAAGAGCAGGCGTAGCATGTTATTTATGGCCTGTCTCCGCCTTCCCCTCTCCCTCTGTAACCAAACAGAATGTGAACAATGGAAGACTCACATGATCTGTTTCAGCCTTGCCTCCCAGGCCATCAGGAGAGGTGTTGGTTGTGTTCTCTCTGAGACCCACAGGGAGGCAGCAGCTGGCTCTCGGCAGGGTGGGTGGTCAGCACTTGAGCTCAGGAGTTTGAGACCAGCCTGGGCAACATAGTGAGACCCTATCTCTACCAAATATAATTTTAAAAATTACCCTGGCATGGTAGCATGTGCCTGTATTCCCAGCTACTTAAGAGGCTGAGTTGGAAGGATGTCTTGAGTCCAGGAAGTTAAGGCTGCAGCAATGAGCCATGATCATGTCATTGCATTCCAGCCTAGCAGACAGAGCAAGTCCCTGTCTCAAAACAACAACAAAAAGGAATTTGGCAAGGCTAAAGACTTAAGTCTTCCATGAGGCCTTGCTTGATCACTCAGTGAATTTCCTCTTTGTCCTCAAGCTCCTGAGGCACCTGGCTCCAGTCCTTACCTGTGGTGGTTTGAAAAACTGGCTGCAGTTCTTCTCCCCGCTATACCCACACATCTCGGCAATGTGACTTTGCTGCTTCCCCCATGAGGAGAAATAGTCCCTTTCCCCTCCTCTTGACTCTGGACTGTCCTATTAACTCATTTTGACCAACAGGATGTGTGGCTGTGCTATAAGAACTGAGTTCTTTGTCTCTGACCCAGGAGTCTCGTGTCTTCTGCCAGAATCTATGTAACAGTTACACACTAACCTGTTAGCATATGAATAGGATAAAAATCAAATCTCAGATCTAATACAAACCGGCCATGTTCTTGCCCTAAGACCATCGCAGTCTCTGTTCCCTCAGCATGGAATATATTTCCCTCACCAATCCACATGGCTTATTCTCTGACTTCCTTCAAATCTGCATTAGTCCTTCCTCTGTGAAGCAGATGCTGCAATAGATTAATCATGCAAGGCTTTTATTAGGGGAAATGCCTTGCAAAAGGAATTAGGGATGGAGCAGAGGAAGGCAGGGGCTGTAGCTAGATCATGAGGCAAGTCTGATCCCAAGGGAAGGAGAAAAGAGAGAAGGTAGAGTGGAAGCCTCCTCTAGTGCTGGGCAGGCTAAGGAGGTTTTGACAAAACCATCAGGGAGTCCCTGAGCTAAAGTGTGCTGATGAGGAAGTCCCAACTCTCCCAGGAGACATAGCCTTCACACAAAAGCAGCGATGAATTTCAAAATGAAATAGCCATGGCCTTCCATCAGTTATGCTCCCTGTAGAAGGTCTTGCAAGACACTTTATCATGGCCACCATAAGACCTCTGCTGAGATGCCCCAGTCTTCCCTGATCATGCCGTATGAAAGAGCAAGTCCCCCTCAACACCCTTTCATTCTTCCCTATTTTATGCTTTTTAATTGCTCTTATCACCACTGATTATGTAATTACTTGCTTACTTGTAAATTTTCCAATCTCTGACCACTAAAAGGTAAGCCTCATGGCAGCAGAAATTTTTGTCTGTTTTGTTCTCTGCTATATCCTAGGACATAGTCTCTGAATAGTCTCTGGCACTCAAAAAATGGCTAAATGAATGAACAAATAAATGGATAAAATAAGAAATGTTTCCTGACAGGTGCTGAAGGGCCACTTTCAAACTGTATAAACCCCATGTTATAGGCTGAATATTTGTGTTCTCTTAAAATTCATATGCTGAAGCCCTAACCCTCAATGGGATGATATTTGGAGATAGGGCCTTTGGGGGGTAATTAAGGCCAGATGAGATCATGAGGGTGGGCCCTCATGATGGAATTAGTGCCCTTATAAGAATAGACCAGAGTGTTTGCTCTCTCTCTCCACGAGCAGAGGAAACGCCGCAGGAGCACACAGCAAGAAGGCAGCCATCAGCAAGTCAGGAAGAGAGTCCTTAACAGAAACCAAATCAGCCAGCTCCTTGATCTTGGACTTTCCCACCTCCAAAACAGTGAGAAATAAATGTCTGTTATTTAAGCCATCTGGTCTGTAGTATGTATTTTATTATAGCAGCCTAAGCTGACTAAGACATCCCAAGTTCGATGTTAGGTAATACTTATCAGGAAGTTTTCGGAACACTCCAAGTAATGTTCCAAACTAAGCATGTCTTATTCTACATAACTTCGAATGCCAGCAGGAAGTGGGACCACCTTTCTTGTGGCTTCTACTAGTTCACAAGGAGACAGGAAATTGTATATTTGTAGCTGGTAGTGACAAGTATATATAGGGAGGGGAAGGGGACAATATCTTTGGTTAAGCATCTAATTTTCCATCCACTTAAATTTTCTGTCTCAGAAAATTCCCATCTTGTCTTGGACACTCACACACAGCAGTGCCCCAGGAGACATGGTGTCAGGCGACAGTGGGTTGGTCTTGAGATCTAATCAGCCTCAGAGCTCTGGGGCAGTTTTCCCTACCTTGTTACTATGGCAATACAGAACCCAGCTGCAGGTGCCCACTTGTCACCAAAACCAGGGCCAGACTCTGACTGCATCTGAGCATGCCTGTCAGTGTGGGGAAGGAGGAAGCAAATGTGAAAAGGCCTTATGTAGCCCCAGGAAATTGTAGGTGGTAGTTAGGAAGCAAGTCTGGGATGCAGATCTCTTGACTTTCTCAGCTGGACGCCTGAGTCCCCTTGGTGTCTGCACAAAATCCCAAGGCTGCCCTCTTTCTGTGGCAGGCCAGCTGTGAGCATACAAGGTACCTCAACTCCTATAGGCAAGCACTGGTGGGTTCAAAATTCAAGAGAGGCTGCCACCGTAATTCCTGCTTCCACCAGAAATTCTTAATCTGCTTATACCTGAGGCTCATCCCCCATATCTGTTACTTGTTCCCATGTTCACCTCCAAACCAAGGATGGGGGTCCAGGCTCCATCCTGTTCTCCTATCTGTTGGTCCCTGCTTACCCATGTGATCCTCTCCCCATGACTTACTGTGTCTGCAGCAGCAGTGGTATCTCTAAGGAGTAAAAAGGCATGCCAAGATGTGTCAGTTCCAGATTGCCAGGCCAGGGCTCCAGGTTCTGTGATCACTCTCACTGCTGAGGCCTTCAGGGAGCTCTCCTCTCCTTATCCATTCCCCAGAGAGACCAGTTGGTCACTCTTTACCATGCCATACCACCTTCCTCGACCAGGACCCTTCTTCCTCTTTACTTGGGCCACTGCATCGGCCTCCTAAACCATCCCCTGCTGCCACTGTTCCCTGCCTGCGGGGCCCTGAAGTGAGGTGGAATCAGGATCTCACAACATTTTTATGAATGCCACTCTTCTGACTCCTGGCCCAAACCTCTCTCCATCAGGACTCAAAGCTGATTGATATGGTTTGTCTCTGTCTCTACTCAAATCTCATGTCAAATTATAATCCCCAGTGTTGGAGGAGGGGCCTGGCGGGAGGTGATTGGATCATGGGGGTGGTTTCTAATGGTTTAGCACAATCCCCCTAGTGCTGTCTCCTGATAGAGTTCTCATGAGATCTGGTTGTTTGAAAGTGTATATCACCACCACCTTCACTTTTTCTCTTCCTCCTGCTCAGCCATGTGAGACTCACCTGCTTCTCCTTCGCCTCCCGCCATGATTGTAAGTTTCCTGCGACCTTCCCAGCCATGCTTACTGTACAGCCTGCAGAACTGTAAGTCAATTAAACCTCTTTTCTTCATAAATTACACAGTCTCAGGTAGTTTTTTATAGCCGCATGAGAACAGACTAATACACTGATCCTCAGGGCAGACCAATGGTAACGGTCTTGGGGGGAAGAAAGGACAATCACTGACATCCTCCCATTCTCCTTATTTCCCCATCTTTGCATGTACCCCTAACCCTCCCTCCTTCCCTAGGCCAAAACAAAAGCCTCACACATATTAACACAAGCAACCAGATCCCTGGAGAACAAGGTGTCCTCCATGCCAGATGTATGCACATGGCAGCTCTGCTCCAGTCAGGGTGCCCTGTTATGTCCATAGATGTGGTAGTAGTATTTTCAGCTGTAAGACTACTCACAGCTGCAAGTAACAGAAACCCAGCACAGCATTCCACACATTTATTCTGTCCTGTAAGAATTCCAGAGGCAGGGCAATTCCAGATTTGATCAGTTCTGCAGGTCAGCATTATTAGGGTTCTTTCCATTTGCCCTCTCTACCATCATCAGGTTAAGAGGCCTCATCTCCCTTTCATGGTCTCAAAATGTCCACCACAGTTCCAGGTATCACATGCAGACCAACAGGAAGCAGCAGTATGAAATTACTTCAGAGCCAGGGAATCTTTCCCAGAATGCTGGGTGCAGTGGCTCCTTCTTGTGGTCCCAGCTATTTGGGAGGCTGAGGCAGGAGGATCACTTGATCCCAGAAATTTCAGGTCAGCCTGGGCAACATAGCAAGACCCCCATCTCTAAAAAACCAAACTAAAACAAAACAAAACAAAAACAAGAAAAATATTTCCCAGAATTGCCCTGATGGTCTTCCCATCACATCTTGGCCAGAATTGTGCCCCACGTCCATTCCTATGTCAGTCACTGGCAAGGGGAATGGAACTCCCGCGATTAGCTTAAAATAATAAAGAGTCACACCGCATTGGGCTAGAGCAGGGTTCTATTCACCTGATACTGAACTAAACTGGGCTGGCTGCTGAGGAGACAGACGATCAGCTGGTCTGCCTAGATATTCATACTTAACTGGCTCCAACCAGGTATGGCCAGTCCCTCTTCAAGGACAGGCCCAGGCCTGGATCTGGGAGCAGAAGATTGGGGAAAGCAAAGGACCAGTGACAGACAGACACCGAGGACATTTCTGCAATGGTCCAACCAAGAAAAGATGGATGCAGAACAATGGCAGTGGTGGTGAAAGTAGAAAAGAGAAGACAGAGGCAAGAAAAAATTAGCATTAGAATCAGTGAATTGTGGCAACTCCTTAGATATGGAGGATATGGGAAGAAGGGGTAAAAGATGACTTGGAGTTTTCCAACCAGGGTAATTTTGGGGATGGTATAGGCATTGGTATTGACTAGGCTGGACATATTTACTCTGGCTCACTGGGAAGGGCAATGTGCATGTGTACAAAACTTGAAGTTGTCAGGGCTTTTGCATTCTCATTGGCCTCATTAGTTCCTCACAGCAACTTTGCAAGGCAGGCAAGGTGGGACAGGTAATGGCATTCCCATTTTACAGGTGAGGGAAATTGGCATGTTGGCATGGGTCTCAGGCCCTTGGGGTGACACAGCCTGGAGCTGGGACACAACCTGGGCACCAGGACTGGGGATCAGGCCAATCTGAGTTGGGGTCTTCTTGATTGCTGCATTCATTCAGTCTTTGCCCAGGAGAAACTGTACCTGCCTCCATTTTCTGGCTTGAAAAGTTGAAATTTCTTCTTTGTCTGTGGTTCATACCAGAAGTCCTCTTATTGGTCATTCTCAAAGGGATCAACTTCCTTGTAGTCTATTTAACTGATATTTTTAAAGTATCATAATTGGATGTTTATGTTATTATATCAGATTAGGGAAGGACTTTTCAAATATTACTTAAACCCAGAGGCTGAGAAAAAGAACGAGAGAGAGGGAACGAAGGAAGGAAGGAAGGAAGGGAGGGAGGGAGGAGAAAGGGGGAAAGAGAAAAGTAGGGGGGAGAGAGAGGAAGAGAGGAAAGAAGGAAGGGAGGGAGAGAGAGAGAAGGAAGGAGAGAGAAAAGAGAGAGAAAGAGAAGATAAAGGAAAAGACTAATAAATTTAAATTTTTAGAAATAAACATTGCAAAGACCATAATGAATAAAATCAAAATGCAATCTAGGAAAATACAGTATTTGCAAATCATATTACCAAGGGCTAATTATCCTAATAGATAATTAGCTCTAATTATCTAAACTATCTAAATAATTAGATAATAGAGAAAGAGCTCTGCATATCAATCTTTAAAAGAGAAGAAAGACCAACAAACAAATAAGAAAATGGTAAAGGAAATGAACAGAATTCAGAAAAGAAAATACATATATTTGTTGAACCTGTGAAAATATACTCAACTGCAAATTAAATGCACTGATAAATCATTTTTCACCTGACAGTTTATCAAGAAGCAAAAAGATTGACCCTGTCTTTGTGAGGTGTAAGAGAAACAGGGATTCTCATACATTGTGACAGAAGAATTAACTGTTATGAATTTTATGGAAGAGAAGCAATATCTATCATTATTACAAAGATATATGTCCTTTCACCCTGAAATTCCACTTCTAGAAATTTCTTCTCCAGAAGTACTTGCACTTGCACCATATTACAAATATACAAAGTATCTTACAATATTGTTTGTAAAAACAAAACATTGAACACTACCTAAAAGTCTATCAATTGCAGACTGGTTATTAAATTATGACATGCCCATCTTAAAAATCAAGAGCTTTGATTGGACTGATACAGAATAACCTTTAAGAAATATTAACTGAAAACCAAAGTGAAGTATATACATAGTATAGTGCCATTCATGAAAAATAAATATATTTATTTAGTGGTAATTGCACATACAAGTGTAGAACATCCCTGGAAGGATAAATGAGAAACTGGTTACACAAGTTGTCCCTGGGGAGGGAAACCGAGTAACTGGGAACAGGAAAACAAGAGAAGACTTTTTACTATAAATGCTTTCATAGTTTTAAATGTTGGTGCCATATGAATTTATTATCTCTGAATAAATTAGATACAAAACAAAATTGAAATGAAAAACACACTGAAAGGATGAAAACTTTAATTAGCATGTGCTGGTTTAGAGTGTTAGAAATGGATATTGTATTAGTTCTCTATGTTGCATAATGAGTTATCACAAACTTAGCAGTTTAAAACAACACACATTTATTATTTCGCAGTTTCCATGGGTCACAAGTCCAGGCACAGCTTAGCTGGGTCATGTGCTCAGTCTCTCAAGGGTACAATCAATGTATCAGCTGGGCTGCAGTCTCATCTGGAAGTTTGACTGGGGAAGAATTCAAGTCAAGGTTGTTCAGGTTGTTGGCAGAATTCATTTCCATGCAGCTGCATGGCTGAGGGTCCTGACTCTTTGCTGGCTATTGACAGGACATCTCTCTTAGAGTCTAGAGGCTTCTTGCACTTCCCTGCCACGTGGGATTCTTCAGCATGGCTGCTCACTTCATCAAACTCAACAAGGGCATCCCTCCCTCCATCTGCCAAGATGAAGTCTTACATGACGAAACATAATCACAGAGTGAGGTCTCATCACCTTTGCCACACTCCATTGGTGAGAAGCAAGTTGCAGGTTCCACTCACATTCAAGGACAGGGATTACACAAAGGGCAAACACCAGGAGATGGAGATTGTTGGGGAGCACCTCAGAGTCTGTTTGCTGCAGATAAGATTTTTGAGGAAACAACTTTGTGTGCTTACATGTTTTTCTTAATGGATATTTTTTGTGCAATTCCTATATACCAAGGACCATATTTGGCAGTAAAGTGGCAGCAGAAAATAATATAAATAGGCTATATGTGTTCCCAGACTTTTCTCTCTCCCCTCCTGCCTCCCAACTCAAGGTTTTGGAAGCCTTTGCATTCGGAACTAATCCTGCCTGTCTCCTGCTCCTCTGAAGAATCAGGGTGGGGAGGTCCAATTAAAAAGCTCAAGGCAAGAGCCAACACTGAGAAAAATACAAAACCTAATGTGTGTTGTGCTGAGGATTGTGAAGGAAAGATAGAGACAACCAGTAACACCCACGGGCTGCTGAACTGTTAGTGTTCCCCACCACCACCACCAGCCTCCAGTTGGCTATGGGAGATGTTCACTGTGAAGGTGACAGGCATCTAGGGCCTACTGAGATTAGGGAGGGGAGGGGTCTTCAGACACCCCAAGTTCTTTTTGGCCAATCCTCTCCAAAGCACAATCTTTGTCCTGGGAGCCCTCTCACTACTAGGATCTCCTACCTTGGGTCAGAGTTTTCCCCACACCAAGAAATGAGAGCTTCTTTTGACCAGCACCCTTAGGGGTCCTCCAAGTAAGGCCAAGCTGGTTGAATCCACCATGACCTCCTGTCTCCTCTGGCCACACCTGTCATTCCCGTGGTCCCCACTCAGAAGATCAATCATGGATTTTCTCCCAGGCCCCTTTGTAATTAAACTTTTGTGACCTAAGTTCCTTGGGTAGCTCCGGGCCTATGCATTTCATACTAGACTTACAAGAGTAACATGTACCTTAATGAGGCCAGGCACGGGGGTTCATGCCTGTAATCCCAGCACTTTGGGAGGCCAAGGCAGGTGGACCACCTGAGGCCAGGAGTTCAAGACCAGCCTGGCCAACATGGTGAAACCCCGTCTCGACTAAAAGTACAAAAGTTAGCTGGGCATGGTTGCAGGTGCCTGTAATCCCAGCTACTCGGGAGGCTGAGGCAGGAGAATCACTTGAACTCGGGAGGCATAGGTTGCAGTGAGCCAAGATCATGCCATTTGCACTCCAGCTTAGGGGACAAGAGCAAGACTTCCTCTCAAAAAAAAAAAAAAGAGTAACATGTACCTTAATGTGCCTTAATGTGTCACAAGTGTCATCATCATAGCTACTATGTATTGACTGTTACATGTCTCCAAGCTATAGTCCTGCTAGATGAGTGTTGTGAATTCCCGTTTGGT